CACCAGCCTGGTTTTTAAGTCAACCAGATGCCGTCAGCAGCCCGGGAAACCTCAGCCCTGCTGTTGGTGTCTGTAGCTTTTTCTAAGCAGAGATGTTGGGGTGGCGAAGCCTGTGCTCACGGCGTGGACCTTGGCAGGGTGGGAGTCGTGTAATTAGCCCATTTCGGTGTGAGAAGGGCTGCCTCTGCCTCGCGTGGGGTCTCCCCGGCCCCCCACCACTGTGTCCCCCCCCAGCACCCTCCTGGGACCAGCAGCACGGGAGGGAAGGTGTGCGGGTGCGGAGCTGAGCGCTGGGTAACTCAGTGCACGATTCACCCAAGAGGCAGCTGGAGATGGCAACGGCAGAGCTGTTTCGGGGCAGGAACACCCCCAGGTCTCTCTGGCCGACTTTTTGAGGCGAGAACGCTCTTTTTTCTGCTGCTGCAGGAAGGATGGAGGAGCAGCTGGCGCCGGGGGACGATGCTCCGGGCGAGGAGGCTTCACTGAGAGGGGAGAAGGGGTGCAGGGAAGGGGGTTCCTCCCATGCCAGAGCTCACGTGCCCCCAGAAACTCCTTCCTTGGTGATACGCACTCCCGCTCAGCTGTTTGCTTCCCCACTGGATAGCCTTTTATCTTCCTTAATCCCACCGACACCGTTAATTCCCTTGGCTTCTTGCCTGCTCTGATCTTCCCTTTGCAAGCTTGCCTTCTGCTGGGTTAGAGAGGCACTTTGGGTCCAGAGCTGGGTCGTGGAGGCACTTTGGGTCCAGAGCTGGGTCGTGGAGGCACTTTGTACCAGCTTTGCATGCAGGAGCAAATGCCACATCTGCAAGACTGTGGGGTGGGTGTCCCTGTCCTTGGGGGTGCTTCAGACCCTGCTGGGCTGGGCGGGGGGTGCTGCAGCCCTGTCAGTGAGCCGAGCACCTTCCCCGTGCCCCATCAGGGAGTGGGGCTGGCCGGGGGAACTGGGATCTGCAGGGTTGGGAGATGGACAGGAGCCACCCAGGACATGGTACCTGTGGCATGGTGAAAGGGTTGACCCTTTGATGTGCACGCTGAGCCCTCCACGGCTGTGTAGAGCTGGCTCTTTCCTGCTTTCATCCATCCTCAAAACATGCCCTGCAAAAGCTCCCTGGGCCTGGAGGAAGAGCAATGTTCTGCTCCTCTCCCATTCCCATCCTTGGAAGCTCTCCCAGGGCTGGGAGCAAGTCCTGAGGGTCCCACACCAGCACGAGGTCTGGCTGCTGCCATGTGTTGGGTCTGCAGGGGCCTGATGGGTACTTGCCTGAGAAAAGGGGGAGGCAGGGGGGGCTGGCTTTGTCCAAAGTAACCTCGCTCATCTCTCCTGGCGATGCAAACACCCCTTCCCTCATCCCACGGGGCCTCACTGGGTGAGCCTCCCCCTAGGAATGTTCTCAATGTCCCCAGGAGGCTCTGAGCTGGCACCAGCATTGACATGGTGCTGGGTGATGCTCCTGGTGGCTTTGGAGGTGTCAAGGGTCAGGAAATGTGGGGGTTGACTGGGCTTCCCATCACGTGAGGGAATCCAGGTGTCTGGACTCTCATGTCCTTCATAACCATTGGGCTTTACACCCTCTAGCAGAAGATCAAGTGCCCTGCTGTAGCCCTGCTGTCAATGCAGATGTTGTCCACGGTGCAGACGGCTGCTCAGGGACACAGCCTGGGCACGGGCAGGGGTGGGGGCAGCAGGGACCTGGGTGATCACGGAGGCGACGTTGTATTTCAGGGAGCCCCTGACACACCATGACGTTCAAGCAAGCGTCCATGATGGCCCCGGAGGCCACGGCCACCACGATGCCCATGGCTACGATGGAGAACTCCACCGAGGCCGCAGGGCCAGGCGAGAGCAAGGAGGACATGTTCACCAAACTGAGGGACAAGTTCATGAACGAGCTCAACAAGATCCCCTGTGAGTAGCTGCCTCCTTTTCCAGGTATCACCCTCCTCAAGACCCCACCACAGCTCCAGTCCCAGTGCAGCATGTGGGACAAGGTAGTGGGCTGGCTGGGGCTGGGAGGGAGCTGCAGGGCTGATGATGATACCAGCTTTTGCCCTCAGTGCCACCGTGGGCCCTCATCGCCATCGCGGTGGTAGCCGGACTCCTCATCCTCACCTGCTGCTTCTGCATCTGCAAGAAGTGCTGCTGCAAGAAGAAGAAGAACAAGAAGGAGAAGGGCAAAGGCATGAAGAATGCCATGAACATGAAGGACATGAAGTCAGGCAATCAGGTGACGTCCTTCTGGACTTCTTGGCCTTGTCCTGCGCTTAGTATTGTAGGACGATCCCTCCGGTTGAGTTACGGACCGTGTCGGGGCACTTGTAGCTCAGGCAGCAGTGGGGGATGGAGCCACCAGGATCCTGGGATGGGAGCGTGCAGACATGAGCCTGGAGCTGAGACAGCAGCACTGTCCTGCTCCAGTGCCCAGTGGCCTGGATGGGACCAGGCTCAAGCTGGCCTGGACCTGCCGATGTGTCACCTGAACCAGCAAATGTTAATTTAATCCCTTATGTCTCCCCGCCTTCCTCTGAGTTGCCCTCATTTCACTGAGCTGTGCCTTTAGCCGAGAGGGGAGGACCACCAGGCCAAAATGCCCACTAATTTGGGGTCCCCAAAAAGCCAATGCTCAAGAAGCGGGTGCTGGTGCACGGAGTGGAGCTGGGGCTGTCTCCACATCTTGGGGGGCCAGCAGGAAGGAGGCTTTGGAGGCGATCCCGGCCATTTCAATGGCCCTGTCCCAGGGCCATTTGGAGGGGGTGGGAGATTTTGGGTGTCTGTTCCTGCTCTTCAGAGACACATGGGCACCACGGGCATGCAGGCAGGGCTGGAGAGATGAGCCCTGAGTGGAGATGCTCCATCATACCTGCCCGTCTGCACGCCCCCGTGGTGGTGGGAGGTGTGGGGTGGGATTCCCTGATGGAGGCAAGGGCTGCCGTCCCCTGGGGCTCGATGGGGCCATACAAACCCCCATTCCCCACCTCACCGTGGGTCCCTTGTCGCTGCTCTCTGTAACGTGGGTCTCTTCCCTCCTGCTGCTCTCGCCATCCGCCCTCCCTGCTGCCCTGTCTGCGTGTTCCCTCTCCATCCTGGGACGCCCTCCATGGTAGGTGCCACCACGAGCCTCCTTCTCCATCAGCTGTTTCCAGGGTGGGACAGGGGACCTGGGGACACTTCAGAGAGGTGATAAGAAGCTGGGGCTCCCACCCCATGGACCATGGCTTGGAGACGCATGGAGAGGGGTGGCTTTGCCTTAGACGTAGGAGAATTAGGTTGTATCTCTGTTATGAAGTTAATAAAAAGGCCCTGCTAAGCCCTTAGCACCGGCTGCAGTGTTCCCCCAAGCACAGGTTTGGGGGGGGTAAGTACCCCTGCACCCTTTGCAGTAGGTTGCTTGCCTCCAGCCCCCCCATACGAGCACCAAACCTACCCCCACCGGAGCTGACCCCGTGTCCAGCGCC